CCCCGGGAGCACCCATGGGTGCCGCCTCTCCTTGCACCCGTTTCCTCACGCGCCCGGGCCGGGAGCACCCTTGGGTGTCAGGTTTTTCCCATGCAAAAGACTCCCCGTGCGGCGCCTCCCCCGAGCGCTTCAGCCTCCGCGCCCCCAGCCTCGCATCGCTTGGCCCTTCCCGGCCTCCCTCGTGCAACGGCCTCCCTTTTGTTTGCACCGGCCTCCTCGTGCACCAGCCTCCTCGTGCACCGGCCTCCGTTTTCTTTGCACCGACCTCCCTCGTGCACCGGCCTCCCTTGTGCACCGGCCTCTGTTTTATTTGCACCGACCTCCCTCACGCACTGGCCTCCCTTGGGCACCGGCCTCCCTTTTCTTTGCACCGACCTCCCTCGTGCACCAGCCACTTTCATGCACCAGGATCCGGGGCCTCCTCGTGCACCAGCCTCCCTTGTGCATCAGCCTCCTCGTGCACCGGCCTCCCCGTGCACCGAGCCGGGGGCCTCCTCATGCACCAGCCTCTTCCACGCGCCGGGACAGGGACCTCCTCGTGCACCAGGACTGGGGCAGCTTCGTGCACYGGCCTCCCTCGTGCACCGGCCTCCCTCGTGCCCCGGCCTCCCTTGTGCATCGGCCTCCTTGTGCATCGACCTCCTTGTGCATCAGCCTCCCTATACACCAGGACCGAGGGCCTCTTCGTGCACCAGGACCAGGGCAGCCTCGTGCATCGGCCTCCCTTTTGCGCCGGCCTCCTCGTGCACCGGCCTCCCTCGCGCGCCAGGATCAGGGCCTCCTCATGCATCAACCTCCCCGTGCACCAGGACCGGGGGGCCTCCTCGTGCACCGGCCTCCCCCGTGCATCGGCCTCCCTTGTCCACCGGCCTCCTCGTGCATCCGCCTCCCCATGCACCAGGACCAAGGGCTTCTTCGTGCGCCAGGACCAGGGCAGCCTCATGCATCGGCCTCCCTCGTGCACCGGCCTCATCAGCCTCCTCGGGCATCGGCCTCCTCGAGCATCGGCCTCCTCGTGCATCGGCCTCCTCCATGTGCAAGCACCGGGACCTCCGCGTGCACCGGGGCTGGGGGCCTCCCTCGTGCACCGGCCTCCTCGTGCACCAGCCTCCCTTGTGCACCGGCCTCCTCGTGCACCGGCCTCCCT